CATAAAGATCGAGTACGATGAAGTCATCATCGTAATGTTCCCCTTTCGGTGGAATCCGACTACACGTTTCTCAACGGTTATCGATGCGCCTGTTGCAAGGCGCACCGTCATCCTTGTGAGGGGAATGTCGCGCTCAACGAACTTTAGCCTACGACCCTCTAGTGACTGGCGACGAACAAAGTTGTTCGACGCCCCACAGTCTACTAGGGCACGAAGCTACAAATCATTTGTCGCTTCCAACTTCACGGTGATGAGGGACACCTCATCACCAGGTGCAGAGACACACAATGATTGTGTATCTGGAGCAACTTTCGTCAAGAGATTTGCAAATTCTCTTGAGGTTGCTGGATCAGTAGGGCGCTCCGCCCCTACTGACCCCGACCATTTTTTGATGGTCCGTCTCGCTGTTGCGGCTTCGCAACAGCGCTGGACCCACGCCCATTGCCCTTTCTGGCAAATGGACGACCATTTCGCTCAGTACTGTTTGGTACTGGGCGTGGAGCACTACACTCGTATGCGTAGTGCCCTAACTTCTGACAGCGATTGCATTTGTGCAATCGCTTGTTGTTTGAAGATCGAGGTCTCTCGCTCTCAACATAGCAGAGGTCCATTGGTTCTGGACCTCCGATCTCTTGTCGTCTCGGTGGACGGTAAGAGTTTGAGCTAGCATGAGCCTGTCTCATGCTAAAGTCTTCCTGTTCCGCGGCTGATATCGCTTCTTCAAGCGTATTCAGCTCAAGGCGGAACAGGTGGCTCCGACGGGCCCCTTGCGAGCCCTTGCATGAACATAGTTATCCACATGTGCTCATTTACCGGTTTAGTGATCATACTACTCGCAAGGAGTCGTATATGTTGTGCGTAAGCGTGCACATCACGCTTACCCTGCTTGAGTTTCAGGAGCTCTGAACGAGCCCTGAACTCAGCCCGTGGCGGCTCAAACGTTTGTCTGAGCCGGGACTTGAAGTCATCTAGCGACCTAAACACGTTTGGGTCGCTACTCTCGAGTCCCAGGGAACAAGTTTTGGCACGCCCTGCCAAGTGGGTCTGAGCAAATGTGAGTTTCATTTGCTCATCTTCGACGCGACGAGCCCTTAGGGCTCTGTCGATTTCGAAAAACCATAGTAACAGGGAGTCCTCCGGGACTGCACTGTACTTGGAGATGTCAACTTTCATGACTTCGGGACGACGCGCATGCGCCGTCCCGCCCACAGCAGCATGGAATTGCTGCTGTCTCAACAGCTCCGTCTGTTGAGCACCGAGTTCTCTCAACTGCTCGGCCTGTTGAAAGCCTTGCTGGTGAAGCAAGGCTACTTTTCTCCCTCTCGATAGCAAGTTCATTCTGAATGAACTTGGCAATAGCGGCATGTTGTTGGTCTCTGTATAGAGACTCCAACATGGTGCTAACGACGAGTTCGCCTACGGTAGAACTCATTCGTTCTACCGCACCCCATTCGATGTCACTCAAATGGGTAAACCCTTCACGCGTGGCGTGAAAGGTGTCTTCTTCATCCAACATGTTCTTGATGGATGATGTGGTGTGGTCGCTTGGAAGGACTACAAAGTGCTACCAGGTGTAACGGGGCACACCCTTGCGTAACTTAACGCAAGGGTTTTGGGTGCCCCGACGGACGTACACGTGGCAAGCGAGGAAGCGTAGGTAGGGTAAAAGTAGAACTGTTATATTGATAGAATTATGTCTTTAAACTACTGTCTCTTCGTTTGACTTAGTTCAACTATATTAATATAACTGGATGTATGTTGACGTCTCGTCACCACTCATTGCGCGCGTCTTGCGGCGATTGGTGGGTTGATATCATCACGATATCAACCAATGAACAGACCCTTTGGTCGACCCTTCAATATCACAACTTTGGTAATATAGTTTAAAGAATATCCATCTTTATATTCTTTATTGTCACTTTCCTTAAAGTGACAATTTCATGTAACGGGCTGCCCCGTTACACATTCCAACCAAGTCTTGCTGACTTAAAATTCTGCTCAGCATTTTGAGCGATGCTCACAGCCTCTTCAAAAGCCGAGGGATGGACTCGAAACACCTCGGTCCTGGCAGCGCCAGTGCGGAGACCTTCCATGAAGACTGTCACGCAGACAGTCTCAGGGAGAGGGTCGGACTGCATGGCAGCCATCAGAGTTCTCAAATCTTGGACATAGTTCGATAACTCGTTCTTACCCTGACGGGTGGACAAGAAGCGTGAGCGCACGCGATAGGCCTGGTTAGGCGGCGAGAAAACTCGCAATAGGTCTAGCTTGAGCGAATCCCATGTGGGAAACGCCAAGTCGACCGACGTGCCGCACGTCAAAGCCCATTCTCTAGCTCTTCCATCGAGCTTTGAGATGGCCAGCGAGACTCGCTGATTCTCGATTGAAATCAAGCCAGATCTCATGGCCATCTCAATCTCACGGATCCAGAGGGTCAAGTTTTCCACCTCCTTCCCGGAGTAATATTTAACGTCCACCCGAAGGGGACAAGGCTTAACCTCTTCTGATGGCATCGCCACGTAGCGTGTCGGCATAGCCGACGCTACCTGGTTTTGAACCTGCCCTAAAAGGGCCGTTTCGTACTGCATGAAGGTCTCGACTCGTGCATTGAGCACATCGGGACCTTGTGCAGCTAGAAACTCCACATACTCTGGGCCTACGGCCGCGGTGAGCTTCTCAAGCGCGGCATTTTGGGCCTCAGAGAGGGGTGTGGATTGCTCCATCCTCACAGAGGTTCAGTCGTTACCGACTCAGGCGTAGATTGACTACAAGTGCTACCGAAGTGTAGCGGAGCTACACAGCTCCGTAAGTCAGAGGAAGACTTAACGCTCTTACGAGCAACTTTGGTTCTCAAAACCCGACTTAGAGAGTCAACAGCTCAGAGAGCTAAGGTTTTGGTTCAGAGAACCCGACTCAGAGAGTCAACAAGCTCAGAGAGATTACGGTCCCCGTTCCAGAAGGACCAAACTATTCAAACGAATCACAGCACAGAGTGCTCGAGGACAAGCTACCTTTACAGGCGTTGCTTTTGTCCTCCCGATCAAAGACGCCTCGTAAGGCACGTGTCTCTTATTGATCAAAAGGGGAACTGAATTTTATTTCTTCTTTAAACCCAAAGAACACCATAGAACAACGTACTTAACCTAGTCACTAAGGTTCGAAGTAAAACCTCTCTAAAGATCTCGTAATCAATTGTTGACAGACATCAGTCTTCAACAATTGATACACTTACTGTGTCCTACCATCACTTTACAGGGTACCCCTTTCTTGTGTCACCACACCTATCGTCGACTACCAGTCGACGTGTAACCCCGTTACAGTACGTGTTACGTGGTAGTGCGAAGTATGTCAAGCTTTTGTGCAGTACGCTTGGAAGCTTGTGGGCGAGGATACGGGTATGAAGGCTGTGGGTCCAGATAAATGTGGGGGTATCCCTTTCCTCCATGACACTCGGTTCTGCTGTATCTTCATCCACTAGCCATATTCATCGCGAAACTATCGTTCGTTAGTTGCAATGCGCATTACTATCGACGGTGACATTTCGGTATGTAAGATTTGACAGCAATGTAAGAGGCAAGGCAGTAGTATCTTGAACATGCGAACAAAAAGGCCCACATCGATGTATCACTTCCATCTTTGCCTATGGCAAAATAGGGCCTCACGTCTATTTTACAGTATTCAGATTTTGTATTGTAACATTAATGAAGAGAGCGCTACGAACCAGACCTTGACTTGTGAATAAATGAAACCATTGGCTTCGATGCAACGCATGTGCAGCACCAAACGCATTCTTATCGTAACGATTTCGTACGTAGCATCGCTGTCGAGAAGCAACAGTAATGTATCCATTACATTTCATTCGCAAGTCCCAACTCAAGCTTAAATGTCCAAATGGTCGATGCTGCCCGCGAATTCCGGTATTCTGCGAGCGATGCCACAGGTGGTGCTATATGCAAGACCGCAATCATGTGTACGCAAGTCAAGTCAGGTCAGGTCTGTCGATTCTGCTCGACTGTTCAACGCCTGTAGCTTGGCCACTATAATGTTGTAAGACATCAAAGCGAGTATTATTGCGGGCTCCGTTGGCATTAGATGGCACTTACCCCCTTTGCTGACTAAATGCAATTGAGGAGTACGAAGACGAAATGCGCGTATCCGATGAAGGCATAATGGGCATTCAGGGACGACCGGCTGACTTTTTCATACCGACTGGACTTCTTCCACCAAGAATTTGGCTCACCATTAGCCAAACCTGCTCGATAAAGGTAACGGGGTAACGGGGCTCGAAGAAGTAATGACAAGGCTCGGCTCCTTACGCGTGCAGGCTTTGTTAAAACTCTTACCGGTAGGTGCGGCAGCTGCGTTCTGCCTCGCAACGAGTCGGGTATACTTTGTAATGATAGCGAAACAGATTAAACATGTGCCAGTTCCGCCTTGTATTCCGCGCATAACGTGCGTCTTAATGCGATAGAAAAGAAATAGTATGATCTTGCGAATCCAGCTGATGTGGCCAAAGATGCTGGCCACGCAAAGCTAGTGCAGCCGACTACAGGCAGGACCGCGACATATGTAGGACGCCTACAGCGTCATCCATGTATTGCAATAAAGGAATCACTTGCTTTCCTCAGCTTTTCGTTTGTTTTGCGACAACTTTTGAGCTTCAGCAAACACTTGCAAACGTGGGCCTGCACTGTCAATGACCAGTTGAAAAACGGTTAGAACTCTCGACGACGTCGGTTCAATTTGTAAGTGTCCTTCAGTAAAATATGGTGAGAACACAGGTCATCTGAAGCAGCGCTCTGATGCTCAATGCACCAGGCGCTGTGATTATTCAAAGGTAATGCCGAATACACAGCTATACCACTTGTCAAAGATGCCCATGCATGCCAAAATGGACACGCGGTGCGAATCATGTCCACGAATGAGCCAAGAAACGTCGCAAAAAGTTCAGCCTTCCTTTCAGCACCACATCAGTGCCACCCAGCTTTTTGGTGATTGCCCTACTCCAAAAAAGTCTTCATAGCCGAGATCGATGTCACAATTAGCCCCGGACGCTCCTTCTCGTGCTCCTCACGCTCCATCTCGAGCTCTTCACGCTCCATCTCGCGCTCCTTCTCACGCTCCTTTTCACGCTCCATCTCGAGCTCTTCACGCTCCATCTCGCGCTCCTTCCCACGCTCTTTTTCACGCTCCATCTCGAGCTCTTCACGCTCCATCTCGCGCTCCTTCCCACGCTCTTTTTCGAGCTCCTTTTCACGCTCCTCAAGCTCCTTCTCGCGCTCCATCTTGCGCTCCTCCTGCTCCATCTCGCGCTCCTTACGCTCCTTCTCACGCTCCTCACGCTCCATCTTGCGCTCCTCACGCTCCTTCTCGCGCTCCTCACGCTCCATCTTACGCTCCTCACGCTCCTTCTCGCGCTCCTCACGCTCCTTCTCGCGCTCCTCACGCTCCTTCTCGCGCTCCTCACGCTCCTTCTTGCGCTCCTCACGCTCCTTCTCGCGCTCCTCACGCTCCATCTTAAGCTCCTTTTCGAGCTCCTGCTTGCGCTCCTCGCGCTCTTCACCCCGCTCCTTTTCAAGCTGTTCAAACTGTTCTCGCTTCTTCTCCTGTTCGTTCTCACGCGCCTCTCGCTCCTTCTCCCGCTCTTCGCGCTCCTGCTTGCGATCCTTCTCCCTTTCCTCGCGCTGAAGCTTGAACTCTTTCTCTCGTCGTTCCGTCTCTAGGCGCCGCTCATCGCGCTGCAGCGATACCATTTGCCTGATGGCTCGATTCTGTTGCTCAATCATTTTTTGGACCAGAGTCTCGAACCCAGCGATGCTAGTAGGGCTAAGAGCCTTCACCACCGTTTGCTTCATTGACGTCAGAGTATTCAAAGACTGGGAATCCAGCGTATGGATGATGGAGCTCTGGGGTGCATCTGGTGAAACGTCAGAGGCAGTAGAGCCTGGCGATGATGGCCCACTATTGGTTTTGGTCGAAACAAAATCCTGGCTCCTTGACGTACGTGCAAACTTTCGTTCCCTCATCTCATTCACCGAACCCGTGAGAATTGCCACATTCTGTGCAAGTAGAGCCGCGCTAACAGGGTCTCCACCGTCCAGTAAAGTGACCAACTCCGTCATAAGCACTTCAAGCTCGCCCGCAGGCGTACCCTTGGCCCCCACAACACGTCCGTTGTTCCGTTTGACGCGCTCACGGTACTTCAGCACTAAATTCTCAAAGCGGTAGCGCACAACTGGGCCCTTGATGCTGTCTTTTGAAAACTCCGGATTGCTGTCCAGCTTGCTTGCCACGTCATCCCAAGCCGCCGAAATCGCACCAAACTTGGCACGAAACGGAAGCGACTGCTTCACGTACTTAGCAAGCAAGAGGTCATCACGAGGTGTGAACCGTTGACGGGTAGCCTTTGTCGCAATGGGCAACGCCTGGTCCTCCGGGTCGACGAGGAGAGACGTCGACGGCGAAGAAGGCTGTGGGCCCACCGGCGACGGAGCGATAGTCGAACAGGCCACTACCGTCGACGCTTTCTTGGTCGCAGGCGCCAGTGTCTCAACTGGGCGCACCTTCCGTGGGCGGCCCCGCTTCCCCAGTGTCTGCGTCACTGGCTCCGCTTCCGCAGCGTCCAGTTTGGGAACGAGTCGCATCATGACGCTCTGGAAAGCGGCGTCCTCGGACGGCACATCTTCTGGCTTGCTCCCATTCTTGACCCAGCTCCGGTGGCGTTCGACAAGACGCTCGAAGCGGTTCTTGGCGATAGGCCCCTTGAGATGGTGCGTCTTGAAAGCGCTGCAGCCATTGAGGGTCGTGGCGACCTTCTCCCAGCCAGCCATCAGTCCTCCGCTCGGAGCTCGAAACGGCTGGTCCGTGCTGACCTGCAGGACCAGGAGGTAGTCCTGATTCGGCGCAAAGCGCTGGCGACTGCGTGGCATCGTTAGTGGCTCGGGACACGCGCGCGAGGGGTGGGAAGAACTCGCTCTTGAATCTTTCGGTCGGTCGGGGACGTCGAATTGCCTCTATAATCGCATACTCGAGATCGCAAGGACTGGTACATCGAGGCCCGACGCGTCGTATACTTTGTAAGTCTTGAGATCGATAAAAAAATAGAGAGAAAGAGACACTTACTACGCTTGACTCAAACATTTGTACAGGGGATGTGGAATCAGAATCAGAATCAGAATCAGAATCAGATGCTATTGCAGACGAGTTTCACATCGAGAGTGTTCAAAAGCTGTGCTCGAGGCGGATGACGATCACATTTGAGTGAGACTGTAGAGCGGAACGTGCAAAAGCGATTGCTAAATAGATAGGCACAAACGTGTCGTCGTCAGTCGACCGCATGCTGCGTGGACATGTCAACCATCAGTGTAATGCAATGTGCCAGCCACGCACCGTCGACTGCAGCGAATTGATCACACAGCCGCATTCGACAACGTGTCCACCAAGCTGTTCCACAAGCTCGACCGTCACTTTCAGTGTCTTGCCCTAGTAGACGAATAGAATGAAACGGTTCATACTCGAGTCAGTACTTCTCTGCATCGACCGAGAGATGGAGAAGGAAAGCAAGAGATGGGGTCGAAACCACGTGGTTCGCGACGGTAATTACCGCACCGATGCCACGAGGTCATCAATAATCACAACGCGATCTCCGCGCGTGATGGCGTCCTGGTGGATTTCCATGCGACCCGAGTGGAAACCAGAGACGTAATCTAAACCCACGACATCACCGGGCAGCCGTCGGGCACGTCGTACTGGCACAAACGCGGCTTGCAGAGCCAGCGCGACGGGGGCGCCAAATATAAACCCTCTCGACTCACAGCTCACCACGTGCGTGATGCGCTGGTCGACGTAGCGCTGTTTCAGAGCATCTATGGCAAACTGGAAAGCAACGGGGTCCAGCAATAGCGACGTGACATCGCTAAAGTCCGCGCCCGGATTGGGGAAGTTGTGGAACACGCGAATCTTTCGCTTGATGTAGGCAGAGACCTCGTCGTCATTCGTCAGGTCCCTGGGTACGTCGTTGGCACTCATTGCCGCTGCTACAGTCACAGTCCAATGTCCAGATACTGACGAAATGATTCGCGTGTGTTTTCGACGAATCAGAACAGCGAAACGGAACTTTTCCTTTGAATGTTTCCAGCAGAACGGCCGGCGACGGCGACTTTTTTATCCCAAGACGTTGAGACAGCCGAGGCCAGCGGTGCTGGCGAGACAAACGGCGGTAAGCTGAAGCGTATCTGGACAATGCTCGTTATTGTATGTACGTTCACAGTGGTGTCGTGTACGTCCGTGTGCTGCAGATTGGCTGAGCATTGGGAAGAGTTTCTCGGCCAGCAAGCGCGATGGTACATCGCATCAGAATCATGCGGTAGAGCTATCGGACTCGGCAATGCAAGTTCATGTACCGACGACCGGTAACAGCAGCACGAAAGAAAAGAAAAAGCACAGAGAGAAGAGGCGACGCGGGGGCGAAGAGTCAACGGCTGTGTCGTCGCAACATCTCCTAAAGCCGCACAAAAAGAAGGAAGAGAGAGAGAGGAAGGAGGAGAAACGAGAGAGCAAGAAGCGGCACAAGTCGTGGCGTTCATCAGGAAGCAGTGGTGAAGATGCGTCTCAACGCATAAAGCATTGCCCTGAACGGCGCTCAGAACGCTGTCGTAGCAACTCGCGCTCTCGCTCTAGAGCGCGCAGCTACAACGACGCCAACCAGATCGTGGTTCAACACGAACGTGTCAGTTTCAGTCGAGAGAAGAAACTGTTTGAGTTTGACTGCGTAGGTGATCGCAACAACGGGCTCTTTGGATCTTCGTATGTCCATGATCGACCGCTCTACAAGTTGGCCACAAAACGTGACCTGCTTACAGGTGCATGGAAATCCCCAGTTCGACCAAAGTATGTCAGTAACGAAACTTTGGAAGAGAAACACGATGCTGGTCGGTACTTCTCGCTGCAGGCACGAAAGATGGAGACAAACGCTCGTCGGAGTCGTCTGTACCTTGCCTACTCAGAGAAGCGGCTAGCGCGGGCGGTGCATCAAGGCAATTTGGATTACAATGACCAATTGAGTGTGACTGCTGCTATGACTGAGAGGCGAAAACAGGAAATGTCATTCATTCCCTTGGATCCGGTGCTACACTTCGACGAGATTATTAGCATCGGCAGCGGTTTCGACGATGTTAATGGCGGCACATCTTTTCTTACCACCGGGCAAAGTGTGGAGCAGCACTTAATGAGACGCAGCAAAATGTTGAATGCTGCTATAGCAGCTAGCCCACATAGCAGCAGTTGTTGGCTAAACTTAGTGGCTTTTCAAGAGCAGATGATAAATCTACACTCCGAGTCAAAGCATACGATTTTCGCCACAAAGACAAGCATCGTGGAGAAACAAGCGGCGATATTAGGAAGAGCACTTGCCGCTAACCCTCATTCACGGAAGCTGCATTGCGTAAAGCTCAATATGTTATTGCAATATCCAACAAATGGTGATAGCAGTGATGTCGACTCGATCCAGCGGCAAATAGAGAGTCTCCTATCTAGAGACCCAGTGAACAGTGACCTGTGGATAAAACTCCTTCAGTGTCGGCACCAGCGATTTGGTGATTTCTCAATGCAGTCTGTGCGCGATTTGTACGCACGCATACTGACAGTTTTAAGAACTGAAAGTGCACGGGATGAGAAAAAGACAGCTGCGGCGGCACTCGTAGCTCCGAGCTTGAGTGGGAAGACGGACGTGATGATATCCGTCACACAAAAGGAAGAGTTGTCGGTCGTGTTACTTGATTTTCACTTCCTGATGTGCGTGTTTAACCAAAAAACAGGTTACATCGAACGTGCAATTGCTCAGCTTCAAGCTCTCCTTGATTTTAGTATGATGGTTGATGTAAGCGACAGTAAAGAACCTCACGTGGAAATGCTGCGAAAGTTTGCCATGCGATGGAGTGACGATAGTGCTTTGAGGATTGGAAGCGAGTGCAGGAACGAAATTGGTTCGAGCATTGGTCGACTGAAGGAAGACCCAGCAGAGACTGCTATGGCCGAGTATCAAGATTACGTTCGTCGAAAGTGTGTTACCACAGTCGATCAAGTAAACCCTTCTCCTATATTGCGCTCGAAAGAACACAGGCAGCATTTGCTTTGGTCTACAGCGGTGTGCCAACGATATTTGCACTCGAAGACAATGTCAGAAACCGGAAGTAGTGAACTAGAAATGAACGGAATCGCGTCAAATACAGCGAATTTAAAAGCAAGTGACGAAATGGAGACGGAATTGAAGCAGGGCAGCGCGTTGGTTTACAGCAATTTACACGGCTACCGCATCAACGTTGATATGACTGACGATTCGAAAGAGTACGAGCGAATTCTGGGCGAATTGCGTGGCACCAAGGAATCACGTGCTCAGCAAACTCGTGTGTCGGAGAAACAGAAAAATCGACATGCTGCGGTCGCAGCAGCAAACGCGCGAGTCGAAGATCAACGTGCAAATTATGGTCCGGTTGGTAAGGATGACCACTTTGTGCGCTGGCTTGCGCGCGAGGAAATGGAATCGCAACTAGAATGGGCCCCGCTGTCGTGTAATAACCCTATACACCAAGACCGTATCGAGCAGCAGCCTGATCGTGCTATACTAACGGAGGAAGTCCAGCCATTTCTGTTTTATGTTCCGATAGCACACCGATGGCGAATAGTTGCTGAAATGCTGCACATCTGCGGCGTTCATTGGCGTGGCGAGCATTCGTGGGAGCCTCGCGTCTCGGCTTGCGATTCGATGTATGCTGATGATGATGCAGATCATGAGCTGCTCGTAGGTCCAATTCAATCCGTGCTGAACCCTCACGCAACTTGTTTCGGTAAACGTGCATTGTTTCTCGATCCAAATGATCGGAAGAAGCTTCTCGAGGACGCGCTTCTCGGCGACATTGATGTGAAGCAAGATATGCTGCGTGATCCTAGCAAGGTACTGTTTGTACGCCGAGTGTTCGCACAATCATTGGATCTCTTCCACAATGCTCATGATATTTTCGAAAGCGAATTAAGATGTCTGTGGGTTGGCTTTGAGGCCAAGGTTGCGTGCATGCACCAAAGCATTGTAACTGCCCGGCACTTAAGTCAGGGGCTGGCTCAGAAGTCTGCGAGCGGCGAGGCAGATCTTGATGTTCTTTATGCGTATGCCAAACTAGAGCTCACTTTGCGAAACGAAATCCGAGTACGACGCATCTGTGAGAACACATTGAAGTCGCTCATGAATGGAATATCAAACGATACGCTATTGCTCAGGGCCATGCATCGCTTTGTTTTCCTGTACGCACGGCTCGAAATGTGGTCGTCGACCAGCAAGATTAGTGCTGGTAGGAGATCCCGAGCGCTCCGGTGTTTGTATACGCTGTGGATCGTGTGGCAACCGGTACAATTGGACGGCAGCGAGATTGCTACGCTTTCGACGATCACAAAAAAACACCGAAAACGAACCGGCGAGTACTTGCAGGAGATTTTGATGTCGGACGCGTCGACGGCAACGAACCTGATTGCCAGATATCGAGAAGAGCTCAAGTTCGCCTTTCGACATTGCATCGCATCAACCTTGGCAGGTGCAGAGCGTGGCATGACAGAGGTTGACCTGCACGGTCAATTGACATGCTGGGCGGGATACTGCTTGCACAACCTGGCTCTCGTCGTCTACATATATGACGGGTTCGAGGCAGCTTGCCGAGAGTATCGTGAGGCGTTAAATGACGTTGAGCACAGGATGTGCCCGAATATGTCATGGGCATGGACGTGCTTTTTGGAATTCATGCAGCAGCATCAAGTTTCAGGTTTGTTTCCTGTACTTGCGCCTCGTGAATGGCGCCTATCAGTTCATGATGCAGTAAATAAGTTTCCGTACAACGAATTATATCTTCGGCTTTTTGTCGACTCTGAAATGGGAAATACGATCTCGCAAGTGCATCGCACGTATTTCTTACAAATTGAAAAGCGCTGGCGACGCCATTTTGATTCACCAAGATTGGTAGAGTGCTTGTTTGCACTGCTATGTGAGTTTAGCCGCGTTGAGCGAGCCGTGATGGTGAAGAGTTTTGCCGAGACCGACAGCAACTTCACGCGACCGAGTTGCTGTCTCTTTCATCACTGGGACATGAATCTGACGGCTGTGAAACGCGTTCGGCAAATATTCGAAAATGTGGTCAACCAGATTCAGACAAAAGGAAATGCGCTTTGCTGGAGGTTATACATGCGCTTCGAGGTGGCATTGGGAAAGATCGATGCGGCGAAAAAGGTGCTGTATCGTGGAATTGCAGCTTGTGCATGGAGCAAAGCACTTTACATGGACGGGTTGCGCGTGATGCGTGCGTATATGACTGAAGACGAATGCCAAGAACTTCTCGATTTTATGGAGTCGAAAGAGCTGAATCTACGCGTTGAGTTCGAAGACGCAACTGATGGATCATAGTTGTGGCGGCAAGAGCATGAACACAAACTTGTGCAATGTGTGGGGGGAGTGAAAACCGTCGCGACGGAGACATCAGGTCGAGGCATTACAAGATGGGCGCAACAATTACAGACTGCACCTGCCGTTCGGTTATTGTAGGGTTTCACCACTTCAATTGGCTATATCAAATCGAACTGTGTTGAATAGGGTCGACGAGATTAGCCAAAGCCGAATTTTTGGCTAGAGTAACTCATTTGCTCGATTGCAATGCCAGATGGGGCATGTGTATAAAGCCATCCTTACATTCAATTAGACCTTGCCGTTCGTGCGTCGTCACATCTTGCAGTTGACGTATCCACCAAATGCCTCCCCGCGACATCGTATGTAGAATGGTCAAGCTTGCTTTCACCAGCCAATAGTGTTGTGAACAAATATATACTTCACTACAGGAAACCATGGCATCTTCGGTCATAGCTGCAATTTTACATGCACATTCTACACGCAACGATGATGCTGGAGGCTGCTAGATATGTATATGTTGTAAAATCACCAACTTGAAGGAATGTCATAGTACGCTCCTTGGCAAATGGACAATGCTTAAAATAGCTCAGTCCCTCCTGTATCGCCCTCTTTGTTGTGTAAACAGCTGCATCACAGGAAACCATGATGCTAACAGGTACGTCAGATTATGCGTCCCATCAAAGTCCCTGCTTTGGGATTGTCCGCTCGACAATCGCGGTTGAACTTACGATCATTGCATGCAGATATTTGCCAGATGTAAGGGTGATGATAATCAACATTGCAAACTTTTCAGAGCTGGCATTGACTTACTAAGACGCCTGAAACGGAAAGAGATTGCTCATTGATTATGTAGGCACGTTTGGTCAGATAAGTCGGTAGGAATGGACTCGCAGCGTGATCAAGGCCGAATTTGGTTGTGATGGTGGAGACAAGTTTATAAAATAATTCTTTCCGCGACAGTTGGGACCGTGACTTCGACAACGCGATGCGATAAGGCAAAGTGGAATAGCCATGTGTACTAGGTTGATAATATTTAATCAACGTCGATCCGGAGTGATAGAATGATCCGCGGACTGCGACTCGCGGTCCGGTGCGTAATTGGAGGGAGATGCATAAGGTATGGATGTGAAGCAACCTACGCTCGATTAATAGCGCGGGTCGTGAACCCAGATGGTGATTGGCATTTACATGCATGCCAGACCCCGCTCTCAGTCGAGAAAAGAAAACGGCAAACACGTGATCGAATCTACGCAATGTGACAAGGCACCAGCTCTAATATTGCAACGATATCAGCTTACCAACACCAATATATTTGCTAGCAGGTGCCGCGCAAGCTCATGTATAAGTAGTTGACAAGGAATCTGTTAGACTAACGAGAGCAAGTAAGTCTAGATTACAAAGAACACTGAATTTTAAATTTTACCGGTGCACCGGACGCGACAATATAAATTTCAGTTTTCTTTTGCCAGTGGTATCTACGCTAACCATAGTGTGGGCGCGTGCCTCGAGAACTCACGTACATCGTACGTACAGTGTATTGGCGCACACATCTTACCATGCAATTGATAAGACCCTGTACTGCAACAGTCTAAGGGTGGACGCTTCCAATATTACGCGTACACTATACGTACAGTCGAGATTCTGATCAAGAATTGCTCAGAAGGAAAAAAACGTAGCCCTTTGTTGATATGCTAATGCCCGTTTCTAAAACTTCTTTATCTTACTCACACGATATCAAATTACAAACATTCGAATGCAGAATCTTTCTTAGCACCCATCCCGCGCATCTAGCAGCGATGGGTAATTTATTCGATTAAATATCATGACCTGCATCAAACTACTTGTGAAGCGGTGCAGAATATTACATCTGAAGGTATTTTTCACTGCAATATTGACTCGCAAGAGTAGTATTCTTTCAATAATAGCGATAACATCAACACGATTCGTGCCAATGACATGTAACAGGATCACACCGACGCAATTAGAGAACACGTCGATTGTGATGAGCACGAGATCTGTAAGGCATAGAGCTAATCGCACAAAGATAAATGTGTCTTACATTGTCTATTTTGAATCCTACCACAATCGTTGATGGTAGGCTCTATCGGGTGATATAATGACTTTAAATAACAACGTAGCAAAGGTCTAACGGGGTGAGCCCGTTACATAAAAATTGGTACAAAAGTTCCAATTTTTAAATATTATCTGTTTTAATAATATTCAATCAACATCACTCGAGAAAAGTGATGTTGTCGGAATTTCACCTCTAAGGGTAATATATGTGGAGGGGCCCACTTCTTGGTTGATGTACATGGTACATCTACCAATTTACCACCAATCGCTGCTGGACGCGCGCAATGGGTGGTGGACAGAAGATTCACATAGGGAACAGTAGTTCAATATAGTTAGATTAAGACGAAAGATGATTTAGCAAGATAATTTATTATTAAATAACAGTTCTACTTTTTTTTCAAGACAGAGCTTTTAATTTCTGTATTGTCTTGGTCGCGCTTCCTCACGCTACGTGTACGTGACGTCGGGCGTATGCACCCTTGTATTGTTATCAATACAAGGCCTTGCTCAGTTATCTGAGCAAGAGCGTGCCCTGTTACACCTGGTAGCATTTTGTAGTCCTTCCAACGACCCATCATCTTACCCTTCATGAGCATGATAACTGGATGAGGGAGAGAGCTTTCACTTCACGCGTGAAGACTTCGCCCATTTGAGTGACCTCGAATGGGCTGCAGTTGGGCAAATGAGCTCTACCGGGGGCGACAATGGCGTTACAGCTATGTTGGAATCTCTTGACAGAGACCAACAATATGTCGCCATCACCAAGTTCATTCGACATGAACTTGGCGCCGAACGAGAGAAAGTAGTCTTGCTTCACCAGTAAGGCTCTAAATAGGCTGAGCAGTTAAGAGAACTCTGAGCTCACCAGACAGAGCTGCTATGACAGCAGCAAGTTACTGCTGTTGTGGGTGGGACGACGCACACGCGTCGCCCCGAAATCTTGAAAATTGACATCATCAAGTACTGAGGAGTCGAGGGCGAATCCTTGTTGTTATGGTTCCTCGAATTAGATAGAGCCATAACGGCGCGTCGCATTGACTCTGAGCAAATGAAACTAACATTGCTCAATCCCACTTGGCAGGATGCGCCAAGACTTGGGCCTTACGGCTGGAGATGAGCGACCCATACGCTTTTGAGTCGCTTAAATCCTTTAAAACCCTGCTCAAACGAGCATTTGAGCCGTTTAGGGCTGATTTTAGGGCTCATTTAGAGTGTAACGGGATACTGGTGACAACGTACTGGTTGACCAGTACGGATCTCACTTCCACTGACAACAGTGATAGTCAGTGCCCTGCTAAGTGTTGCACCAACACAGATAAAGGAAAGGAGACTAAGTGAACTCTCTAGTCTTTGGTAAAAGTATAACTGTTATTCGATACAATTAAGTCCTATCAATCTTGTGTCTCTGTTTACCCTGACTTAAATATATTCATCTAACTAAACGTATGATGACGTCTACTCACCGCCTATTGCGCGCGTCTAGTCGCGATTGGTGGGTTGATATCATCACGACATCAACCAATGAGTAGACCCTTCAGACATCAAAAATTATCACGATGTCTTGTGATATTGTTAGAAGAATATTCAACGTAATATTCTATATTGTCATTTTAGCCTTAATGACAATATCATGTAACGGGCTACCCCGTTACACAGAGCTCCTAAAACTCAAGCAAGAAAGGCGTGATCTACACACTTACGCTAAGCATATACGACTCTATGCGAGTAGCATGATCGCTAAACCGGTAAATGAGCACATGTGGATAACTATGTTCATGCAAGGGATCTCAGAGGGACCCTTCAGGTACCACCTGTTCCGCCCAGAGTTGAAGAATCTAAAGTATGCTATTGCAGCAGCAGAAGAGGAAGACTTAAGTGTGAGACAAGCTCATGCTAGCTCGAGCTCTTATCGTCCACCGAGACGACAAGAGATCGGAGGTCCAGAACCAATGGACCTCTGCTATGTTGAGAGCGAGAGACCTCGCTCTTCGAACAACAAGCGATTGCACAAATGCAATCGCTGTCAGAAGTTAGGGCACTACGCATACGAGTGTAGTGCTCCACGTCCAGTACCAAACAGTACTGAGCGAAATGGTCGTCCATTTGCCAAAAATGGCAATGGGCGTAGGTCAAGCGCTGTTAGAAACCGCAACAGCAAAGCGGACCATCAAAAAATGGTCGAGGTCAGTAGGGGCGAAGCGCCCTACAGATCCAGCAAACTCAAGACGATTTGCAGATCTCATGACGAAAGATGCTTCTGACACATATTCTCTGTGTGTATCTACACCCGGTGATGAGGTGTCCCTCATCACCTTAACGTTAGAAGTGACAAAAGACTTGTCACTTCGTGCCCTAGTAGACTGTGGGGCGTCGAACAACTTTGTCCGTCGCCAGTCACTAGAGGGTCGTAGGCTAAAGTTCGTTGAGCGCGACATTCCCCTCACAAGGATGACGGTGAGCCTTGCAACAGGCGCATCGATAACCGTTGAGAAACGTGTAGTCGGATTCCACCGAAAGGGGAACATTACGATGATGACTTCATCGTACTCGATCTTTATGACAAGTTTGATGTCATCCTAGGACTACCTTGGCTTAGGAGATACGAGCCAAGGGTGAGCTGGCAGCATCGATCTGTATCGATGCCTGCCGCTTGTTCATCAGATAACGATCTGAAGAATATCTTGGAACGCCCAAATTCATGAGGGTGTACTGCGAGTGAGTGCGATGGCCTCACTTGCGGTACGGTCGTTAGTACGACTGTACAAGAACGCAATGTAGATGATCACTACATTGTAAAGAAAGCTCTCTTGGATTCTGTGGAAACTAGTTTTCAGGAAGAAACCGAGACGTTGAACGTCTTGGTTAATGACGTATCAAGCGTAGGCGCTTATACGCTTAATCTGATAGTGCCTCCGAACTTAACTGCG